GCTAGGTTTGTTCCATTATTTGGCAGAAAATAAAAGGACTAAAAGAATCCCTGGCCAGGCGTGGTGGCCAGCTTGTCATCCCAGCACTTTGGGAGGCTGAGGCAGGCAGATTGCTTGAGGTCGGGAGTTCGAGAACAGCTTGGCCAACATGGAGAAACCCTGTCTCTACTAAAAATACAAAAAATTAGCTGGGCATGGTGATGCACACTTGTAGTCCTAACTACTCAGGAGGCTGAGGCAGGAGAATCGCTTGAACCTGGGAGGCAGAGGTTGCAGTGAGCAGAATCAAGATCACACCACTGCACTCCAGTCTGGGTAACACAGCGAGACTCTGTCTCAAAAAAAAAAAAAAAAAGAAAAAAGAAGAAACCCTGAGAGATTATTTTATCTGTTTCTTTCATTTCAATCACGTAAGCTGCCTAAGAGAGGAAAAAGTAACTGATTTTAGACTTTCCTGGAAGTGTCTTGTTATCTGCAACCACTGTCCAGGGGCCAAAATTATTCACTGTCATGAAATTAGTCTCACCCAAAATTCTCAGGCTGTTATAAGAAAACATTATCTGTAAAATAATTTTGTGTTATTTTTCTAGTTGTGTTTATAAGTTACAAATTAGTTTTTTGGTGTTTTTTGTTTTTTTGTTTTTGAGACAGGTTCTCACTTTGTCACCCAGGTTGGAGTGCAGTGGCGCGATCCTAGCTCACTGCAGCCTCACGCAACTCCTGGGCTCAAGTGATCCTCTCACCTCAACCTCCCAAGCAGCTGGGACACAGGTGTGTACCACCACACCCAGCTAAGTTTTAAAGTTTTTTAGAGATGGGGTCTCCCTGTGTTGCCCAGGCTGGAAAAATTATTAAAATAAGTTTAATAATTATTTTCATATTTCTCCTTTGCTATAGTAAATACAGGCTATGGCACATAAAAATTGCTTTTTTTTTTAGTTTAAAATGTTTCCAATTCCTGAACTGCTAGTGGATTACTACAAATTTTGTGTTTTGAGGAATTGACTACCTAAAATAAAATATATTATCCAGCGAGCACAATATGGAAAAATTTACCCACAAGAATTATATTTAACATATTTACAAAACTCTATTGTGAGACTTTTAATTTCACCATGCTGCAAGTTTATTAAAAGTGTCACTTAATAGCACTTTCTTAAACTGAACAAGAAAACAAGCTAATTCAAAATGACTTTTGAAGAGTGAAGAAAAAAATTCTCAAGATGCTTCTGAGAGTTCTGGGTGATCAGTAGCAGCTAGTTTGAAGGGCCAGAAAAAGTCTAAGTTCTACTTTCAGGAGCTGGGAGCAGGAGGAATAATTCAGGAATAATTCAAGGTGAAGGAGAATAAGGAAAAACGCTTAGGAGACTGACACTTCTCTATATTATTGTCGGATGAGATGGGCTAGGAAGACTCAGGGGGGCAGTAATGTGGCAGTGTCCACACATTTCTCCTAGACAAGCGGGATAAGAACAAGACCAGCTTCTCAAGAAGAGCCCTTGTCGTAGTCTTTTCCTGCTGCTTTATCAAAGCACCTTGTAAACACTAGACACCTATTTCTTACAGTTCTGGAGGCTGGGAAGTCCAAGGCTGGGAAGCTCAAGATCTGCAGGTGCGCACTCAGTGTCTGATGAGGGCATTTTCTTGCGGTGTTCTCATCTGGTGGGAAAGGCAGAAGGGACAAGTGCTGTGTCCTCACATGGCAGAAGAGATGTTATGGGCTGAATGTGTCTCCCCAAAATTCATATGTTGAAACTTTATCACCAATGTGATAATATTAAGAGGTAGAGCCTTAAGACGTGATGAAGTCATGAGGGCAGAACCCTCGTGGGTAGGATTTGGGCCCTTGAGGGAGTGCATTCATCCCTTTCCATCCCTCCCACCAGCACGTGAAGACACTGTATTTCCCCCTTAGATGCAGCAACAAGGTGCCATTTTGGAAGCAGAGAGCAGCCCACACCAGGCACCAAATATGTTGGTGCCTTATTCTTGGACTTCCCAGCCTCCAGAACTGTGAGCAATAAATTTCTGTTTTTAATAAATTGCCCAATCACAGGTATTCATTTATAGCAGCACAAATGGACTATGACAGAAATTGATACTGAGAAGTGGGATGTTGCTATAACTAATACCTAAATATGTGGAAACAGCTTTGAAACTGACTAATGGGTAGAGGCTGGAAGAATTTGGAGATGCATGCTGGAAAAAGCCTATATAGACATGAACAGAGCATTAAGGGAAATTAAGGGTGAGGGCTCAGAAGACAAGGAGAGCTGTAGGGAGAGTCTAAATCTTCTTGGAGATTAATTAAGTGGTCATGATCAGAATGCAGTTAGAAGTATAGATGGTAAAGACAGTTTTGATGAGATCTTAAAAGGAAACTGGAGGAAAGGTCATCCTTGTTACACCGTGGCAATGAATTTGGCTGAATTGTGTCTGTGTCCTAGTGTTTTCTGAATGGCAGAACTTAAAGGCAATAAACTAGGATATTTGGTGGAAGAAATCTCTGAGCAAAGTGTTGAGAGTGCAGCATGGCTTCTCTTGATTGCTTATAGTAAAATGTGGGCAGAGAGAATGAATTAAAGATGGAGTTTATAATCAAGAGGGAAGCAGAGCTTAAAGATTTGGAAAATTCTCAGCCTGGCCATGTAAAGAATGAAAAGGCATGTTTGGGAGAGAACACCAAGAGTGTGGTCAGACTCACATTTGATAATGAGATGAGTATGTATAGAAGGAAGCCAGATGCTATTCATCAAGACAATGGAAGAATGAACCCAAAGGCATTTCAGAGGTTACCAGTGATGGATCTCCATCCCCATCTCAGAGTGCCAGGACCCTGAGGGCAGAACAGTTTTAAGGGAGGACTCAGGACACCATGGAACCTTGGGGCTTGCTGCCTAGGGCTGCCTCAAGTCTCTGCCCACCCCCATCCCTCCACATTCTAGTGCAGCACTCTTTGGCCACCATCTCAGGTGTGGCTCATGCAGGCCCTTGTCAGGCTACCCTTCCTGTAAGCCTTGGTGTGTCCACGAGATGCTAACTCTGCAGGTGTACAGAGTGCATGAACTGTGGAGACACGGCCACCTCCTCCTAGATTTTGAAGGATGTCTTGAGGAGCCCGGGGGCCCAGTCAGAGAACTGTCACTCAGGTGAGGCTGCTGTAGAAAGCCCTCACTAGGGCAATGTTTAGTGGAGCAGTGGGATTGGGGCCACTGCAGAGAGCCCCAACTAGGGTAATAGCTAGTGGAGCTGTGGGAACAGGGCTGTCCCTGAGAACCCAGAACTGTACAGCCACGAGCATGCAAGTCTATCCTGGGAGAGCCTAGACTTCAATCTGTGAGAGCTGCTGCATGGGTTGCACCTGGCAAATCCATGGGAGTGGGCCCCCTGGACCCTAGGGGACCCAGTCCCCACCCCCATGTGCTCGGAATGGGGGACACAGCATCGAAGAAGATGATTCTGAAGCCCCAAGATGTAATGCTGTTTGCCTTATTGGGTTTGGCCTTACTTGGGACCAGATACTCCTTTATTCTGGCCTGTTTCTCCCTTTGGGAATGGGAATGTCCGTCCTATGCCTGTCTCACCACTGTATTTTGAAGGCATGTAACCTATTTGATTTCACGGGCTCATAGCTGGAGGGGAATTTTACTTAGGATGAATTGTACCTTGAATCTTATGCCTTTCTAATTTAGAAGAAATTTTTTTTTTTTTTTTTTTTTTTTTTTGAGACGGAGTCTTGCTCTGTAGCCCAGGCTGGAGTGCAGTGGCCCGATCTCCGGCTCACTGCAGGCTCCGCCTCCCGGGTTCACGCCATTCTCCTGCCTCAGCCTCCCTAGTAGCTGGGACTACAGGCGCCCACCACCTCGCCCGGCTAATTTTTTGTATCTTTTAGTAGAGACGAGGTTTCACCGTGTTAGCCAGGATGGTCTCGATCTCCTGACCTCGTGATCCACCTGTCTCGGCCTCCCAAAGTGTACAGGCTTGAGCCATCGCACCCGGCCAATTTGGAAGATATTTAGAAGAGACTTTGGACTTACATTTTAAAGTTGATACTGGAACTTTGGGGGCCACTGGGATACAATGCATGCATTTTATATGTGAGAAGGGCATGAATTTGGAGGACGGAACAGAATGCTATGCTTTGAATGTCTGTGTCCCCTCCAAAATTCATGCTGAAACAATCTTCAATGCAATGCTAAGAAGTGGTGCCTTTAGGAGGTGATGAGATCATGAGGGCATCTTCCTCATGAGTGGGATTAGCCCCTTATACAAGAGACTTCACATGGGATTTGGCCCCTTTTGCCCTTCCACTTTCCACCATTGAGGATGCAGCAGCAAGCTGTCAGCTTGGAAACAGAGAGCAGGTGTTTGGAACTGGTTCTGTTTTATTTGATTCTAGGGGCCCCTCTTTTTCCCTATGCAAGATCCCCAAATTTTCTTCCCTCTCTCAAACAAAGCTTCCAGTATAGATGGGACTCAAAGGGAGTCATTTGCCCTCTAAGAGGTGTCACACTATGTCGTGTCAGTCATTCACACCTTAGTAAGAAAAAGCTCTTCAGGTCCTTGCCAGCGATTCCGGGAAAGGCTTAGAACTGAGAAAGGCGCGGATCCCCCGAGGAGGGCGCTGCCCGGAAGCCACGCTCATTTCTGCTTCCACTTAGGCAACCCCGGGAGCTCTGACTCCTCGGCGGTCCCAGGGAAGGGCCGCCGCCCCGCCCCCGGCTGCTGGCCCGGGTGACGCTTCCGCATGGTATAAGGGCAGCGGCCCTCGGTGCTTCCTCCCACACCTCGCACCCAGCTCGGAGCCCGGAGCGTGCCTTGGCAGCGAATCGGGTAAGGCCGGGCCTCGGAGCGGTGGCGCGGTGGCGAGCTGGGGGGAGAGGCCAGGCCCCCTCGCTCAGCTTCCAGCCCAGCACCGCACCCCCGCCCCAGGCTCAGGCCCATCAGCCCGGCAGCTCCCTGCGCGCCCCCCACCCGCTTGGCGCCCCCATCCCTTCCGGGCGCCGCGTCTGAGACAGGCGACCTCTGATCCCCCGCCCTTGCCTGGGCGCAGGCCCGGCCAGCCTGGGAGGGAGGAGGGAGGACGACAGATGCAGGCGGAAGGGCAAACTGAAACCCGAGATTACAATGTTGTCCTTTCTCCCTGAATTCCCTTCCTCCCAGAGCTGTTTGTGACAGTTTCCAGGCAGCTCAGGGTCGAGCACTGCTCCTATCTGCAGCTGCAGGGAGAGAGAGGAGGAACCCCGTGCAATTCTAGAGACGATTGCACAACAAGGAGAAGTCAGCTGCCCAGCGGGCAGTACCGTTCTTCTTTGCCTGTCCTTGGGGAAATTAGGGCTCTGAGAGTGGAGATCCAGATGGGCTAGTGGGTGGCGGATGGGATGCTGCACTGCCAGACCCTGGACGGTGGTGGGTTTCCAAACTGGCACATCCTACACCGGCTCTGAGACTTTGGGCACTGGACCTCTTATACCTTTTTGAACCTCAAAAATAAGGAAGACTTATATTATTATAATAATTACAGTGATACCTTTGCCGGAGTGTTAATGCATAGTAGGTAGCTGTGAGTCTCTGACAGAATGCTGTTAGTTCAGGTGAAGGTAGGCAATGGATTCATTGCCCAGAGAATCAGAGACTTGAATCAAAGGCTCAGAAGCACCTGCGCTCCCAAACATAGGTTGGGAGGACCCAGGGCTGGGTGGCTATGCTAAAGCTGGGGTGGCTGGGGCCTGCCCCACCCCACCCAACCCCCCAGACTCACCTGTCTGCAAGGTCAGAGCCCTTTAGGGCACCCTGGGTGCCCTAAAATCCCCTGTAACTGCTGAACCCTTGGCCAGCATGGTCCCACATTTGTGGGCCTGTGAAAGTGTTCTTGCCCTGCTGGAATAAAAAAGCGGGGAGAAAGTACAAATCAAGGGTGCCACAGGGTGGTTGGCAGAAGTGGAGGAAGCTTCTGGGGGAACGAGTGCTGCCTAATCTGCTGGCATGGGCAGTGGGCACCAGGGGGACCCTGTTCTGTGTTGCAGTTTTCACCATGGAGCAGCTGAGCTCAGCAAACACCCGCTTCGCCTTGGACCTGTTCCTGGCCTTGAGTGAGCACAATCCGGCTGGAAATATCTTCATCTCTCCCTTCAGCATTTCATCTGCGATGGCCATGGTCTTTCTGGGGACCAGAGGGAACACGGCGGCACAGCTGTCCAAGGTCAGCAGAAACGACAGAAAGGGTCTGCTTTCCTTCCATCTCCCTACGAATGGACGGTCTTTATGGAAAGGTTGTGCCTTTGAGCTCTTACAGTGTGTTTTCAAAACTGTATTTTTATGAGATCAGACTTTCAGAACAGTCACACTTGTAGGCAGGCTTTCATTCATCGTCAGGTTTTTCCTAAGTACCTACCACATACCAGGAACTGTTTTTTTGTGTTGCTGCGGAGATAGCAGTGAGCAAAGCTGACAAAAATCCCTGCAGGGCGAGTCTTCTGTTCCAGTGGATGAACCTGGCAACTTTCCTGAAAGCCACACTACATCCTCCTGAGCTAGCAGCTTCCAGTTTTTGCTTTGCATATGATGGATGATATGCAGCTCATAAATATTGCCTGTTACATAACACTACTTTCAAGCATAATGAGAGGAATGAGACATAGGGAATCATTATAGTGGAGATGGTGGCATTGCTTTTTTCCAAGGAAAAGAGAAAAAGTGACCCTGTGATTCTATAGTCCCAGGGTGCTGAGCATGGCTTAGTGGGCTGTGGCATAGCAGGCCCTGCAGGGGAGGTGAGGGGGACACCCAGCAGCTTTGGGAGCAGGACCCAGCCCTTGGCAATGTGACAGGTCACTCTCATGCCCAGCCTTCCTTCTTGTCCTTAATGGACATGGAGGGGACTTCTGTGTTTGGTACTCTAATTCCAAGAAGAGAACTCTAGCTCTCGCTCTCGAAGACCGGCAGAAAGGAGTGGTAAAAGTAGAGGCTCTTCTAACATACCTGCTGTGAATGACACGGCCCCTGTTCCTCGGCAAGGTGCAGCCCGGGATTCAAGTTCAGGGGGCTGCGAAGCTTCTATTACTCATCGCGTTAGATATGAAAGCATTTAAATATATTTTTTAAATCCATTAAAAAAAAACACCTCTGTTACTAATTGTTAGTTGCTTCTTGCGGGGTTATATCAGTTGCTAGCTTGAGGCTTTCCAGGGACTTTAAAACCTCAGCAAAGAATAGTTTTAAGGACTCCTCCCTCATTTCCATTAAAGCAGATGGAGCATAGGCACAGTGCAAACATTCCATATTTCAGTGACTAATGTGGACTTCGTACCCTACGCAATTTTGTTCTTTGTGTCATAATCATAAAGGAACCAGCCTAGGTCTCATAAAACCACAAAGGGCCACTTGATTTGTAACTGATACATGGAGAATTAAACTTTTGCCAGAATGTTAAGTTTAAGGAAGTTATTTTAAAATAAGTGAGTTACTGATGTTACTAGGGTAATAAAAATTTAAAAGCCTCAGTCTGTAATATCTTTGTGGTTCTGAATAGAGGATGAAACCTATTTTTACTGCTTATTTCTGAGAACGTTCAGTAAAATTATATTTGATACAGAATATAAATATGAACATACCATTTATTATTTTCTTTGGAAAAGGCAGACATATATAAATATTTAGTGTATTAACCACCCACATTTGTGGAACTGCTAGTGTAACAAAGAGTGATGTAAAAGCAATGTCTAAAGTTGTAATCATTCTGTCTCACAAAGTCATACATTTTGGATTTCCTATTGTTTGTTCTGTAATGACAAATTAATAAAGTATTGGGTTTGGGATCATCAATAATTAGTAATAAAAACAGATTAATTTGATAGAAGGAAACACCAAGGAATCACTTTATAGTTTCAAAATAAATGGCTGTAGAAAGAATGTTTTCTTTATTTTAGACTTTTCATTTCAACACGGTTGAAGAGATTCATTCAAGATTCCAGAGTCTGAACGCTGAGATCAACAAACCTGGAGCGTCTTATATTCTGAAACTTGCTAATAGATTATATGGAGAGAAAACTTACAGTTTCCTCCCTGTAAGTACTTTGCCCTTCGCATCCTAAAACCCCACTAGACAGTGCAGATATTTTCCAGCACAACCAAGTCATGGAAGTCAGTTTTAATATTTGTAAACTTTCAGAAAAACAATACAGAAGGCAAACATGGCAAAAACAATCCGGAAGGCAAACATGGCAAAAACAATCCGGAAGGCAAACATGGCAAAAACAATCGGGAAGGCAAACATGATAGAATGCAAACTTTAAGTGACTTGATGATTTTGTGTTACAGTCTTAGTGAAAAGATAGCTCCTGGAGGTTTTACTGAAGCAAGAGTACAATCAGTATTTGTGAAATCTTAGTCAAAGATCAGAAAAGAGTGGTAATTTTTATATAACAACAGTAGTATAAGGGTTAGGCTTACCACTACTGGAATGCAGTTAAAAATGGCTAAGATACTAAATTTAATGTTAAATGTTTTTTACTACTATAAGAAAAACTATAAGAGTTTGAAATTTTGTGTTACATGGAATTGTAGCCTTTTAGGACAATTTCTGTTGCTTTTCGGGATTGTAGAAAACAATTTCAACATGGAGTAGGAGTATATTTCCTTTTTCTTTTTTTTAAAAAAATTTTTTAAATTTTTTAAATTTTTTTATTTTTTATTTTTTTTTTTGAGACGGAGTCTCACTCTGTCGCCCAGGCTGGAGTGCAGTGGCCGGATCTCAGCTCACTGCAAGCTCCGCCTCCCGGGTTCACGCCATTCTCCGGTCTCAGCCTCCCGAGTAGCTGGGACTACAGGCGCCCGCCACCTCGCCCGGCTAGTTTTTTGTATTTCTTAATGGAGACGGGGTTTCACCGTGTTAGCCAGGATGGTCTCGATCTCCTGACCTCGTGATCCGCCCATCTCGGCCTCCCGAAGTGCTGGGATTACAGGCTTGAGCCACCGCGCCCAGCCCTTTTTTCTTTTTTTAAATAGGAGTTCTTGGCTTCGACTCAGAAAACATATGGTGCTGACCTGGCCAGTGTGGATTTTCAGCATGCCACTGAAGAGGCAAGGAAGACCATAAACCAGTGGGTCAAAGGACAGACAGAAGGTGAGCACCCGGGCGGAATGGAATCATTATGCGCTGGTCGTGTCATTCCTTTCCTCAGTCCGCCTTTCCCACCTGCAGTTATTCCCTCCCCAGCTCCCACAGTCCTGGCACACATTGTGATTACGGTCAGAGGACACTCCCGGTGCGTGCACTCTGCACTGCACGTTGCTGGACAGCTCTCACATGTTAGAAGTTCACCAGAGAGGAAACTTAAACATGATTTAACTCAAGCAGCTAAATCCTTTTTTCTTACCAGCTCCCCAAAACTTTTAAAGTTACATTTTGAAGTTAAAACCAACATTGGCGGGGCACGGTGGCTCATGGCTGTAATCCCAGCACTTTGGGAGCCTAAGGCAGGTGGATCATTTGAGGTCAGGAGTTCAAGACCAGCTTGGCCAACATGATGAAACCCTGTCTCTATTAAAAATGCAAAAAGAATTAGCCGGGTGTGGTAGCGCACACCTGTAACCCCAGCTACTCTGGAGGCTGAGGCAGGAGAATCTCTTGAACCCGGGAAGCGGATATTACAGTGAGCCGAGATCATGCCACTGCACTCCAGCCTAGGCAACAGAGTGAGACTCCATCTTAAAAAAAAAAATAAAAATAATAAAAAATAAAACATAAAGTTAAAACCAACACTGAACACAGCAAAAAAAGGAATTAAAATTTTGAGGAGAATCCAGCCTGCCAAAAATTACCTAATACACATATGGGAAGAAATGTCCTGGAATTTCACGGAAATACCTGAAATCAATATTCACAAACTACTGTGGTCATAAATTTTTTGCCAACATCTTGTCCAGTAAAAAAGGTGTGGTAGGTGGGGACTGACTTGCTCTTAGGGTGCAATTTATTTCTTTACTACATCTCTCTTCTTATCTAGTCCTGTATTAGTCAACCCACTCCAGTAGGCGTGTCTTCCGTTATGCAAATTGTTCCCGGCCATACTTGTGGTCACCAAGGTGACCTTTATTTCCATGGAGTATGTTCTGCTGGGTTTTTTTGTTTGTTTGTTTTTTGTTTTTAAGAGACAGAGTCTTGCTCTGTCGCCCAGGCTTGAGTGCAGTGGTGCGATCGTGGCTCACTGCAGCCTCGACCTCCTGGGCTCAAGGAATCTTCTCATCTCCACCTCCCAAAGCGCTGGGATTGCAGGTGTGTGCCACCATGCTTGGTCTTGTTCTGCCTTTTGGATATTGTTTAAATTTTTTTTGTGAGTGTAGGCATCTACTCAGCGATTTGAAGAAGTGATTTACTGATGAGTAAAGACATCTTCATTAAGAATTTTTTTTTCTGAAAAAGAATAGTTGTTACAAAATAAGGCTCATTGTTTATCATACAGTCCAGAAAAGAAGAATTTTCCTGTCTTTAGTCTTTCAGCACATTTGACTGGTTTAAAATGTCAAGTCCTTTGTGGGAAGTTTGTGTGTCATCCTGGTCTGCCCCACAGGTTGTTATATGTAAAGTAGAGACGTGTTAGTGAGTAGGGCTTTCCTAACTTAGTATCTTGTTAAATGAAAATTAAGTAGAAAGTATATATTTGAATTGCATTTCCGTGCTAATATATTGTCAGTTCAAATTTGGAATTCCAATTTGGATTTTTGTTTAAGCTAACTTGATTTTTTTAGGGAAAATCCCGGAACTGTTGGCCTCAGGCACGGTTGATGACATGACTAAACTTGTGCTAGTAAATGCCATCTATTTCAAGGGAAACTGGCAGGATAAATTCATGAAAGAGGCCACGACGAATGCACCGTTCAGATTGAATAAGGTGAGGTGAGGTAACTGTACGGTCATGCGTTGCTCTAAAAGAATGCAGAGAATAATTTCAGTGATTTGTTTTAACTGTTCAGAAAGACACAAAAACTGTGAAAATGATGTATCAGAAGAAAAAATTTGCATATGGCTACATCGAAGACCTTAAGTGCCGTGTGCTGGAACTGCCCTACCAAGGCAAGGAGCTCAGCATGGTCATCCTGCTGCCAGATGACATTGAGGATGAGTCCACGGGCCTGAAGAGGGTATGGCTCCTGGGCTTCGTGCTTTGTGGTTCCTCCGGTGTGTGTGTTGCATGGTAGGCAGGTGCTTGTTAAGTGTTCACTGATGGCTCATTTTCCAATAGTTTGTCATTCCTTTGTAAATGTAGCCCATCAACACTTGCTACACCAAACCCCAAGTTAATTTTTTTTTTTTTTTACATTTATTTATAGAGACAAGGTCTCACTATGTTGTCTAGGCTTGTCTAGACCTCCTGGCTTCCAGCGATCCTCCTGCCTCATCCTCCTGAGTAGCTGGGACTACAGCTGGGAGCCACTGTGCCTGGCTGACATTTCATTTTTCAAGAAAGATGGCCAGCTACTTTCACTGGGCACTTGTGATGGGGTCATCAAAGATCTATACTAAATCTAATACTGGTTAGTGGCAGCCCATGGAAAGGCTCTTGAATTAACTTCAGAGGAAATTACAGTAAGATGAGGATTGTTTTACTGAGGAAAAAGATCGAAAAGTCCCAAATAGTGTAGCATCTATCTTCATCATGTACTATACAATTCTATTATTACATTGTTCATTCTCATCACAATTCATGTAGACAGTGAATTAAATTTTCAATGGGTACAAGACAGAAAAAACCTCATATTACATGTTAGGCCTATTTACTCATGTGAACTTTGTATGAGGTTTCCATTATGTGTAGGGACCCTAGCCTGCTCTGTATTCTCTGTCTCCTCCCCAGCTAAACTTGCCATCAGGAAGGGGGTCTAATATTAATCATTTGCATGTACAGACTTTTAATATATTGTATAAAAATCAATGTGGTCTTTCTTTCAGTTGTATTTTTGCATTAGTTTTTTTTTCTGATTGTAAAGTGAAAATCTCTAGCCTCATAAAAGGAATGATCAGCACCATTAGAACAATTAGAGTGATGATTCTGTTCCAGTCCAATAGCTACAACAATAGTAATGATAATAGCTGACATTTATATAGCACTATGGGTCAAGCACTTTATATACATCATTTCATTTAATGCTCTCGACCGTCTATAAGGTAGATATAAGTAATGTCCACGTCACATTTCAGATGAGGAACTAGATCCAGTGCATAATCTGCCTTTTAAATTTTTACCTAGGAGCTAAAGTTATTAGATATTACTTCAGCTCCAGTAAGGTTCACCAATTACCACAGCTTCAGTGGGATCCAGACTAAATAGAAGAAATACTTTAAATTTCTTCTAGCACTACTCGACCTGGAAGTAATAGCAGCTGTCATGGCCTATCACAGTAATCCATTGTGGTAGGAGTTTAGTAAACCCTGGATGAATGGATGGATGGATGAATGGGTAGATGGATGGGTGGATGGGTGGATGAGTAAATGGGTGGATGGATGATAGATAGGTAGATAGATTGTTGGATGGGTGGGTGGGTGGATAGGTGAATGAATGGATGGATGAATGAGTGACTGTGTTGCTGGGTAGCTGGGTGGATGGATGGATGGATGAGTGAGTGAGTGGATGATGGACCCAATGTACAAAGTTCCTGTACTTGAACCTTTGATGACTTGGAACACCACCTCTGCCCTATTTCATCAATTGCCAGAAAGAAATAAAATTCTCCAAATGGAATCTGTTTTGGCACAAAACATGAAGGAAACAAACTAGCAACTGATATTATGGGTCCTTTGATTCAAATAATACTTTATTGCCTTACTTATGTAAAATTGATATCACTTCTTCTTTCACCTCATTTTAATTGCAGATTGAGGAACAGTTGACTTTGGAAAAGCTGCATGAGTGGACCAAACCTGAGAATCTTGATTTCATTGAAGTTAATGTCAGCTTGCCCAGGTTCAAACTGGAAGAGAGTTACACCCTCAACTCAGACCTTGCCCGCCTAGGTGTACAGGATCTCTTTGACAGTAGCAAGGCTGATCTGTCTGGCATGTCAGGAGCCAGAGATATTTTTATATCAAAAATTGTCCACAAGTCCTTCGTGGAAGTGAATGAAGAGGGAACAGAGGCGGCAGCTGCCACAGCGGGCATCGCCACCTTCTGCATGTTGATGCCAGAGGAATACTTCACTGCCGACCATCCATTCCTTTTCTTTATTCGGCACAATTCCTCAGGTAGCATCCTGTTCTTGGGCAGATTTTCTTCCCCTTAGAAGAAAGAGACTGTAGCAACACAAAAATCAAGCTTAGTGCTTTATTACCTGAGTTTTTAATGGTGCCAACGTTCTTCTATCTTTACCAATAAAACCAATATCCAGAAACAAATCTTTTATTTTCTTTTTAAGTTCGGCTCTGTTGGCTGTTTACACCCATGAATTTTGGCATGGGTATCTACTTTTCTTTTTTTACATCGAAAAAATCCAGTGGTTGCTTTTGAATGCATCAAGTAAAAAAGAAGAAAAGAATACATCAGATGTGTAGATTCTTGACCATGTTGTAATCTATGAAATTGCTATATCCTCCTGACAGGCATGGGAAAACATGATAAGATGGTCATTTATTTTGCAGTTAGAATTTTGGGAGCCATGAAATAGACAGACACCCTGACTGTTGAAGGGAGGTTTAAAAACACATATTCAGTTGAAATATAAGAGAGCACCCCAACTGAGAGCCCAGGTTATGAAGACAAACTTGTCTCGCCTGATGTTTCTATCCGTTGTTCTGCAGGATTAGTATTCTGTTACAGCCCTTTAGTTTTTAGACTCTTCAATTAAAGGGCCAATGGTTATAACCTGCATTCCTTTTTTTGTTCTTCTTTATGTATAATATGTAGTTAATGTGGCAGTGCATGAAATCAAGAAGTGGGTGTCTTAGGATAAAAGATGCCAAGAGTCTACAAAAATAACCATGTAGTAAGATAAACTGCTGAACAAAGGTTTTATTGTTAGCCACCTTCACATGTATTTTCTCTTTTTTTCTTTTTTTTCTTTTCTTTTTTTTTTTGAGACAGAGTCTTGCTCTGTTACCCAGGCTGGAGTGCAGTGGCAGGATCTCAGCTCACTGCAACCTCTGCCTCCTGGGTTCAAGTGATTCTCTTGCCTCAGCCTCCTGAGTAGCTGGGATTACAGGCGTGCACCACTAGGCCCAGCTAATTTTTGTGTTTTTAGTAGAGATGGGATTTTGCCATGTTGGCCAGGCTGGTCCTGACCTCCTGACCTCAGGTGATCCGCCCACCTCAGCCTCTCAAAGTGCTGGGATTACAGGCATGAGCTCCCGTGCGTGGCCTTCTCATGTGTTTTCTGATTAAGGCTCTTGACTTCCTTCATCCATACAGGTTGTTATGCCAATAAAATGGTATTGTGCGGGGCTATGTGGGGAGATGGGGCGGGGGCTCTTGGACTAATATAAAACTTTGTCAAATGTAGTTCTTTGAATGGGGCTTGAAACACTGCATTTTCTTGCTCTTACAAGGATAGTGGGCACCATGAATTAATAAAATGTCCTAGGATTCTGCAAGCCAGACTGGTCTCAGGCCTCTCGTTACTGCTGTCTTATCCTAGACAAATTAAGGCTACCAGCGGGGATTCTCGGCCTTGCAACATTGTTGGGAGTAAGGAATTCCATAGGTTAACAACAAGATTTTAGCGACTCTCTTGTCATCACACTTTCTTTTTTCCCCCCTTTCTTAAAATACTTACCATATTTCAGGTTTTCAGGAAAAGCACTGCCTTCTGTAAGTCTTTTCTTTTGGTTCCTCATCCTAAAATCCACTCTGATTTGGAGTAAATCATGTTCATTACGTAGAAACTGAATTGTAGGGGCCCAAGTGAGCCTGCTCAAACTATATATGAGGGAACAGGCCTATAGACTATAGGTACATTGTTGAAGGTCAAAACAATTGGTGAGTTCCAGGGCAGAGACTGGAATCCAATTTGCATTTTATGTGGAGAGCATCTAATTTATGTAGTGGCGAGATAGTTACCTCAGGCCTCTGAAGACAATTAGAAACCAAACAAATAAAACAAGCATCAGCCCAAAGGCAAGGGAGGGCTAATCTGAACATAAAGAATTACTGGGCGAAGATCCAGAACAAATTGGAAATTCAGAGAGGTGAATCTGGAAATTGGGGCCACTTCTGCCCCAGGGCCATCTGCCATCCAGAAGAGGGAAATGAGAAGTGGTAGACAGAGTTTGAGCCCCTCAAGAGTGGGGGCCCCATTATACTGCCTCTGCTTTTGTTTGGCATTTTAAGACCTATGCCCTATGGGTATGACAGAGTCAGCTCAGAATGCAGCCCTGCGATGAGTCATTGGAGAGCCCAGAAATTTCCAATCCCTAGAAGTAGATTATTTTCATTCTAGTTTGCTGCTACTCATGGGCACACTGCAGAAGCAAACAAAAATCGCAGTTTGGGGAAAATTACCCATAAACCACAAATCATGTTTACCATCAGCTTTTATAATACAATATCTGGCACATAATCAAAGATAATTGGACAGTTGAGGAGCCATGATAATGTAAACTAATACCAGCACAAAAGATAGACAACAGAAACCCCAGTACAGGGGCTCCAAATATCAGAATTGTCACACACAAACAGAAAAGAACACTGTTTTCTATGATCAAGATGATTAAAGACAAGGTTTAACATTTCAGCAGATAATTGGAAACTTAAAAGAGACACTGCATATTTGAATAAAAATAAGACAGAAATTCCAGAGCTCAAAAATACAATAATAAGTGAACTCAAAGGTTTAAAAAAAATTAGATGACTAAAGAGAGAATTTGTGAATTTTAAAGTTCAAAGAAATTATTCATAGTTTCTTTTAGAAAGACAGATATGATAAATGAAACCTCAAAAGGCAAAAGAATGGAAAATACAAAAGAGAGGATAAGAGACCTAAGGTAGTCAATAAGAAGATGCTTAATGGGAGAAGAGAAAGTATAAAGCAGAATCATATTTTATTTATTTACTTATTATTAACTATTAATTTTTAGAGACAGGGTCTCACTTTGTTTCTTAGGTTGGAGTGCAGTGGTCCTCATGGCTCACTGCAGCCCTGAACTCCTGGGCTCAAGCAATCCTCTCACTTCAGCCTCCCTAGTAGCTGGGACCACAGGAGTGTGTCACCACACCTGACTAATTTTTAATTTATTTTTTGCAGTGACAGGATCTCGCTGTCTTGCTCAGGCTGGTCTCTAACTCCTGGCCTCAAGCGATCCTCCCACTTTGACCGCCCAAAGTGCTGGGATTACAGGCATGAGCCACCACACCTGGCATCAGAATCATATTTTAAAATCTAACATTCAAATGTTTATACTAAAACAGATAAAGAATGTCAATTCACAGAGTCTGGAAACCCTACTCAAACCCCAAGCAGGAAAATACAAAGAAATCCATCTCTAGACGCATCCTAGTTAAACTGCATTCATCCAAAGACTAGGGAAAATCACAAAATGAAAGCAACTGAAGAAAAGGCCAAAGTACCTTTAAAGAAGCAGTGATTACAATGTCAACACATATGTCAACAGAAATAATAAAAGCCAGAAAACCATAGGATGATTCTCTCAATATGTTGGAAAAAACAAAATCTAAAAGCCCGGCCAACCTAGAATTATTGTATGCCCAGGAAGAACATCCTTCAAGATATTTCAGACAAAAACTGAGAAAGTTCACCATCAGCAGACTTCCCCTGAGAAAAAGTCTAAAGGAGATTCTTTATGCACAAGAAATGTCAGAGTTCTAACAACAACAACAAAAAAGAGCAAGAAAAATTGGTGAATATAAGTTTAAATGAATATTGACCATGTAAAACAGAAGTGATGGCTACAAAGTTTCAAATGTATCTAGAATTAAAATAAATGATAACAGAAGTTGGGGAGGGAAATGGAGTCAAAAGTTCCAAGGTCCTTGCATTGTCTAGGAAAAGAATAAAATACAATTACAATTACATTAGAGGTTGATAAAGAATGACAAAGAATACCATCATCAGTCTGAAAGAAGAATAGAAAGACAAGAAAATGATACAAGAGCAGGTATGACAACTAGCAAGATGGTATAGTAGACTCTAAATAAAATGAACATTGAGTAAATGTCCCCATTCCAGTCAAACGACAAAGATGGTCAGGCTGGACTGAAAAAAATACTATACACTATTTAGAGGAAATAGATATAAAACATAAGACTAGGGAGAATTTGAGAAGAAAAGAATAGGAAAAGACATATCATGCAAATGCTAACCATAAAAGTAAGTGTAGCCATAATGGCATTAGTGATAATGTACAGAGTCTCAAATATATCCAGAATTAAAATAAATGATAACACAGAATTTGGGGAAGGAAATGGGGTTAAAAGTTCTAAAGTCCTTGCATTGTCTGGGAAGAGAATAAAGTGCAATTACAATTACATATTTCCTATTCCTATTCTAAAGATAAGGACAGACACTTCATAACAACAACAAAAAGATTCAGCTCACTAGGAAAATATAACAATTCTAAACTTGTATATACCCAACAACATGCCCTCAAAATGAAACAACAAAAATAGAAAGAAACTAAAGGAGAAATTGGTCTGAAATTTGAGAACAAGACAAGGATGTGCTATCACCACTTAATAATTTAATGAAGATCCTAGTTGATACACTAACTCAAGAAAAAAAAAATACAATGATTTGAAAGAAAGAACAAATCTCACAATATTTCAGATTATTTTTATAGAAAATCTAAATTATTAGAATTTAAGTAAGTTAAGTAATGTTGCTGGTTATAAGTTTAATTTGTAAAGCTAGTTTGTATTTCTAGGTAACATCTGCAGTTTAAAAAATTTTAATACCATTTATAATGACATCAAAAAATACTTTAGTGTCTAGGAATGAATCCAACAAGTTGTTTGGGACTCTATACAGAAAACGATAAATGTTATTGAGAATAAATGAAAGAGATCTGAAAAAAAGAAGGGCTATGCCATAGTTATGATGCAATACCTTAAATAGGTCTATTGGGCTGGGCATGGTGGCTCACGCCTGTGACCCCAGCACTTTGGGAGGCTGTGGGGGGAGGATCTCTTGAGCCCAGGAGTTCTACACCAGCCTGGGCAGAAGACTTCGTCTCTACTAAAAATAAAAACAAAAAATTAGCCAGGCATGGTGACACGTGCCCTTCCCCACTCCTTTGGAGGCTGAGGCAGGAGGATCACTTGAGCCTAGGAGTTTGAGGCTGCAATGAGCTATGATCATGACACTGCACCACGCCAGCTGGGTAACAAAGCAAGATTCTGTCCAAAAAAAAAAAACATAGACAATTGGTCTATAGAATTAATGGAATCCCAATAAAAAACGCAGTAGTTATTTTTGTTTGGTTTGGTCTTCTTTTCTGTGAAATATGGCAAGTGGTTCTTTTTTTTTTTTTTTTTTTGTTTGAGACAGAGTCTCACTCCGGCACTCAGGCTGGAGTGCAGTGGCATGATCTCTGCTCACTGCAACCTCTGCCTCCTGGGTTCAAGCGATTCTCCTGCCTCAGCCTCCTGAGTAGCTGGGATTACAGGCACGCACCACCATGCCTAGCTAATTTTTGTATTTTTGGTAGAGATGTGGTTTCACCATGTTGGTCAGGCTGGTCCCGAACACCTGACCTCGTGATCTGCCTGCCTCGGCCTCCCAAAGTGCTGGGATTACAGGCGTGAGCCACTGCACCCGGCCAAGTTGTTCTAATGGTTATATAAATATGTAAAAGTCAAAAATACCCAAGACAATCTGGAAGAAGAATTAGTAAGAAGTTGGACGTAACTGAATCAAGACT